ATTTCATCAAAATCGGTTCTGTGGTTTAGGCTTGAAAGCAAGACAGACAGAGTTACTTTCGCATTTATAATATTAGTATAGATTCCGCTCTCAGCAGAGCTAAAATGCGTTACATTTGTATTTTTCGACTAAAATCTATATTAGTTATATCACGAAAAGATAATATCGCAGTCGTGACACGTGCATCCTAGCTCTGCAAAACAGAAACTCTTGAAAAGCTCAAAATTGTAACGTTGCTTATTTATTTCCAAACGCATTTAATTTCATTTGCATAGTATCTCCAAGTAATTGAAAAATTCCTAATACTAACTTGCATCTTATGGGATCCAAGTTTTATTTTATTTTATTCGGAAAACCAACAGCAATACAATACAAATAATTTCCAACCCATCATAGTTGCTTATTGCGACAAAGTTTAATTAATTTACAGACGTTCATATTTTAAACAAACATAATATTTTCATGATTTCAGTAACTCGAATTTTAAAGATCATTTAGTATTTATTAACCCTATCACTGCTTCAGGGCAATGTGATCCATTGCTTCAGAGTCTGTGTATTCTCATAATTTTAGATAAGTAATAGATGGCTAAAATTAGACACAAATTAATTATTCTTAAACATACTTCCAAAAACCCCAATCAAAGTAGCAGATAAATATGTAACTTATGGGTTTTTTGCCTNTGTGGCATAATTTAACTCTCTTCTAATCGTGGAAGAATAAACATACATAATCTGTTGTAAAATGATGAATTTGCACAAGGAAACATAATCTTTATTTCCGTAAGTAATAATGAATTAGCGAAAAATATTCTGAAAAAGTTAAAATTTTACACTCTAGAAAACTTTGAATATGCTATTTTTCACAGCATTTACGATATTAAAATGCGAACTTCGACGAAATAATTTACTGCATTTAAACTTACTGATAAAAGAGAGGTCGTTGCACTGCATTGTCGGTTATGTTTATCAACATTGAACGTTGTGCAACATAATAATTATACTTGCATTAGAAAGGTACTTTATGTATCCAATTAAGAATGCAAGATTCTGATGTAGTGGTTGGAGAGATAGTCATCAGTCTTGATCAAGGGGTCAAAGATTTAAGTATTTCTTTACTTACTTAAACCTACTACCGCCGAAAGCACTAATAAGGCAGTATGATGGCGTAGGTAGAGCTGCTCTATGTCTCTTCATTTTAAACTCAATACATAAAAACAAAAAAACAGTTTTTAAGTCAGTTTATGGATGACGGAGTACTGACAAAAAATGGGGGTACAACCGGTTTTAGAACCTCCTCTTTTTTAAACGTAACCGGAAGTGCTCCAATACCGTAAATAATTTGACAAACTGTTGCAAAACCAGTAACCACATAACAAAACTGTTTGAATTACTAAATTTCCGCGGCTATGCGCTCGGCAAACAAGAAAACTGTGTACCTAGGTGATAATGCGAGAGCTAATATTAGAAGGAAAACAAAGTATAACCACTTACCTAAGTAACGTATACCTAAGTATACCTTGACGGCTATTTGAATGCACAATGGGTTTCCTTATCCATGCCTAAAGTGCGCAATGAAAAGGCAAGATGAAAGGAACTATGGCCTTTTTTGTCAGGGATTCCCATGCATAAAACAACAAAAATAAAATACCTGTGGCGGAAATAAGCTAACGCGATGAGTCGCTACTAACGCAATGAGTCCTGGTTCAAAAACTGGATAAATAGATGTTGAAAAATTATGTAACATATTTTTTTAACTTCCGTTTCATTGCCTTCAGCAAAACATAGGTATCTTTCGTAGCTAGATTGTTGTTTCAGCCGAAAGATGTCCACTGCTGGACAAAGGCCTCCCCCACGGATTTCCACAAAGACCGGTCCTGCGCCGCTCGCATCCAGGCACCTCCCGCGACCTTCACCAGATCGTCGGTTCACCTAGTGGGAGGCCTGCCCACGCTACGTCTTCCGGCTCGTGGTCGCCACTCAAGAACTTTCCTGCTCCAGCGGCCATCAGCTCTTCGAGCTATGTGCCCCGCCCACTGCCACTTGATTTTAGCGATTCTGCGGGCTATGTCAGTCACTCTGGTTCTCCTACGGATCTCCTCATTTCTGATTCGATCACGCAGGGAGACTCCGAGCATAGCACGCTCCATCGCCCTTTAGGTGACCTTGAGCCTTCTTATGAGGCCTATAGTAAGCGACCACGTCTCAGATCCGTATACCATCACTGGCAACACACACGTAGCCAGATTACCGATACTTAATGTACCACCGCACCGTACCTATTCATGTGGGTATGAAGGTATGTTACGGATTACTAGTGAGCGCGTTTGATGTAAACTCACACACAGCCTCAGCGCACTGATAAATGTAGGAAGAAGAAGGAACAAGGCAGCAGGAAGGCGCTGGATGCAGGCCGCTAGGTACCAACTGTGCGAGTGCGATGTGGAAGTCATTGGGGGAGGCCTATGTTCAGCAGTGGACGTCCTGTGGCTGAAATGATGATGATGATGATTTGCGTCATACTGTAATGTAGCCCATAGGCTTGTGAAGTTGAAGAATTTAAATTCTTCAAATGTGGTTTATTGGTTTAGGCTTAAAATTGTAATAAACAAATAGTTACTCTCGAATTTATAACTATAAATATTGCTTTTAATAAACTACTAAAACAAATGTAATGGTTTAACAAAATTGCCTCAACTTCTGCTTTCATAATAGTCTGTACATACAATAATACTTTTATCTTATGTTTAAATAGTAATTAAGTTAAATAAATAAGTTGTCACAAATTAAAACAATTTATGAATATCAAGTACACGGGGTCGCTTGAAATGAGGTCAGAAGCGCATGCACAGTGCATGGCGTGGAAGCGAACAGAATGCTGTGGTATGCATGCTTCTTGAGGTGGTTGATAACCTCTACAGTTACTATAGTTACAGCTGTCCAGCAAAAAAAGAAATCTATACCTACTTACTAATGTAGTCGTAATATTTTTTTTTATAACTTGTGTCATTGTAATGTTTGTGATGAGAAAATAAAGACTATTTATTATTATTATAATGTAGAGCTAAAGAGTTTGTTTCTTTGATTGAACGCGCTAATCTCTGGAACTACTGGTTCATTTTCTTTTTCAAAACTCTTTATGTTGGATAGCCCATTTATCGAAAAGGTTTATGATACGAGTATAACATAACCAAACTATGACAAAAAAGGGGCGGGAGCAGCATTGACAAATATTGTAAAAACGGGAAAAACGATTGAATATTCTTCTTTTTTTAATATTGTGTAACATAAAATACTTTTTAAAAGGCACTACGTGTACTTGACTTTGTGCGTAAATAAGATAATTTAAGTATCTAGGTAAGTACATTTATTTTACGGTTTGATAACAATCTTCGACTTACGTCAACGCACAGATAGGATGGGAACACATGGCAGGCAATCGATGTAATCAGAGATGATTGCAGTTATCATCTCAATAATATATCGAAGGTCATCTAGATTGGTGGTTGACGCACGTTGTGGTGGTGGGTTCGAATCCGCAGGAGGGCAAATCCTAATATAGAGTAGCTTCATCCCGCAACTTCACGCCTATAAAGTCAATAAATATAATTAATTTCCGCTCGCAGCACAGCTAGGATGCGTTATGCCTAACTTATCGCTCACGCATCCTGCGTTACATTTGTATTTTTCGACTAAAATCGATATTACTTATATCAGGATAAGATAATATCGCAATCGTGACACGTGCATCCTACGAGTAGCTCTGCAAAACAGAAACTCTTCAAAAGCTCAAAATTGTAACGTTGCTTATTTACTTCCAAAAGCATTTAATTTCATTTGCATAGTATTCCCAAGTAATTGAAAAATTCCTAATACTAACTTGCATCCTATGGGATCCAAGTTATTCCACCCCATCATGGTTGCTTGTTGCGACAAAGTTTAATTTATTATTGTAAAAATAAAAACTTTACGTGACAGACGTTCATATTTTAAATAAACATAATATTTTCATATTTTATGTAACTCGAATTTTAGAGAGCATTTAATATTAACCCTATCACTGCTTCAGGGTAGTGTGGTCGATTGCTGCAAAGTCTGTGTATTATCATAATGTTAGATAAGTATAGATGGCTAAAATTAGACACAAATTAATTATTCTTAAACACACTTCCAAAAACCCCAATCAAAGTAGCAGATAAATATGTATGGGTTTTTTGCCCACCATGAGAGCTGAGATCATCCCATAACCTGCGCTCCATCGAAATGCCTTACTTATCTCTGTTGACTATTGTACCAAGATTATGTGTGTATTAGCCAGTTAGCTGATTGTAAAGCTTAACTTTTCAAACCAAATATATTCCGTACTAACCAGGGTTTTTTGATAGTTTACCAGTGTTAGTTAGCTTCGGCAGTTACGCGGTTAAAAACCCCTGTAGCTCAACAAAATCTTTCATTGTAGGGTAATTTAGCATTTGGTTCTAAAGTGTAGTCATTAAAATTTTAATTAAATATTATATTAACTGCGCAATAATATTTGAATTAAATTATTTTCGATTATTTGGAAATAACTCGCAATAATGTAAGTAGACTACGAATTCTTTGTTCAACGTTAAAATTATGTCGAATAACAAATGTCTTCACAATAATTCAAAAATAATCGGAAGTTATTAAAGAGAAAGAAACTACATTACTGTATTTAAAAATATTAAAACTGAAACAAATAATTACTTACTTAGATTGGAGTATTATCCTTACTTATTAATCTAGGGAGCTTTTTAAGAACACTTTCTTATTAGGCACTTACTTACACATACGAGTATATGACAATCTGAAAACTGAGTTTTCTTTTAAAAGTTTATCAATTCTTAGTTACAATATTAAATATGAAAAGAAACAAAACAGTTCCTTAAAACCTTTACATTTTATGAATTAGGGGCTTAGGACCAGGAATGACACAACATTTTAACTAAAAATTGCAACAAAATAATAACATTAACACAGTACTAATCTTAGTTTTAGTTGCAACCGTTATGTGGCATTAATTGCTTAATTAAATAGTATTAAAATGAAAAACTCAAGTAACGAAAAGACAGAGAGTGAATGGGAGAAGGAAAAATTGGACCCGAATGCATGGTAAGTTGTTTTACTAAGAATACGCTTTTTTTATGTTCAGTCTTTGCTATCCCACTGTCCCACTACTGGGCTTCCCCCAGAATTTCTACAAATAGTTACGTAAGCCTAATCAAAATTGTCTTTATATACCTATTGTTTTTACTTGATTATTTATTTTACAGTAACTAAAGTCATGACATTTTTGATTAAAGAATTAGTTACCTAATTAAAAAAAAACCAATTGAATCCAATCTCAGGTCAAAGGCAGGATTTTTTTATGGGACTAAGATACATAAATTCACGTTAAGTAGATACAGATCTAAAGAATAGAAGGAATTTCGAAAATAAGGATCGAAAATAACACAATGGATAGAATACTTACAATAACAAGATACAATCTGAACGATAATTTCTAAGGTCGTTGATAATGCAATATGATTGATAATTTGATACATATCTCAAGATGATTAATCACAATACAAATCATTCCGCAGTCTGATGTTTGATATGAAGTCTGAAACTTAACCATCAAGAAAGATTGTTATCATACGCGAAATCAAATCTCCATGTTTATGAAAATGCGTCGATCAACTGAAGGTTAAATAAGAAAATCGGTAAAAAGTAAAATAACTTTTAATAAATAAGTATTAGAGCCATATTTATTATTGGTTGCCTGAATATTTATTACACACACGTAACGCCGGCTCGTATCAGACTAGCTCTTTTAACAAAATGTGATTTTGCTTATACTTTTCTGTGAGGCGTCCAAGAACCATTCGGTAAATAAATATACAGACAAGATCAGACAACACATCAGGCACATTTTTGTTGTAAAAAAACATACGGGTCGAATTGAGAACCTCCTCCTTTTTTTGAAGTCGGTTGATAACCTCTATTACAACATCATAAGATCCCACAGTGTATAGCGGTCAGCTTTAATCTACACTTAGTAACTAGAATTGATTACTGTTTATTAGTTCACACACTAAATAGACTGAGATACTATGTAACTTAAACTTAGGAATAGTGCGATAACAAACTCGGTAACAGAAAATTTAATATAGCATGCTGTAAGCATGGCTGTAAGTGCATTCCAAATATAACTGTTGCCGAATACTTGGTGTGAAATTGAAATTGAAACAAACGCGTGTAAAATTGTCCAAGCATAATTTTAAATTAAAAAACACGTCCCAAATACGAGTATAATTAACTTTCCTACCTTCCACAACTTCGGAATAGCCTCTGAATTGGTCGCTGGCTGTTGAGAAGAAGTGATCGAAGAAACTGTATACTTTTATACATANTATACATGCCGCAAAGGCAAAGGCCTATACCATTAAAATCAGTTCGTTCGTTCGTTTCAGCAGTCCACAGCTGGACAAGCCTCCCCAAGGTTTTCCACAAAGACCGGTCCTGCGCCGCCCGCATCCAGGCACGTCCCGCGACCTTCACGAGATCGTCGGTCCACCTAGTGGGATGCCTACCCACACTACATCTTCCGGCTCGTGGTCGCCCCTCGAGAACGTTAGTCAAAATCAGTTAGTTAATAATAATTTCATATCTACATTTAACATTTCCCTACACTGAGTAAACATAGATACGCTTGCTTAGCTGACAAAGTTGAACTCAGGTCGAAGCATTATCTTATCAAATACGTTAAAAAAATCTATCAAACTGTTATCATAGAGTTGTGGAACCTAGAAGAGGCATTTTTAAAAGACCATTAATACGTATTTTTGGACAACATTGTGATGTTATGTGTAACATTTCCTAAAGAAAACAAACCGAAGTGAGAACCTCCTCCTTTTTGTAGTCGGTTAAAAAAATGTTTCTAGCCTTCAGCCTTCAGTACAAGATAGTTAAGCCCAGTTTCCACTAAAATAGAGAGGAGAAGAAATCAGAGGAGATGTGTTTTAAATAACCATAATAATTTCGCTATTTTTACAAGCTTTATATTGACTTCACTTGTTAGTATGTGTGGAACAAATCTTGCAACTGAATTTAAGACCAGTTCTCCTCAACCGATTGAGCTGAAATTTGGTATACTTATGTAAGTACGATGACAATGCAATATTATGGTACCATTGAGCTGGTCTGATGATGGAGTCGGGAGGTGGCCATAGGAACTCCTAAACAAAACGGCGGAAACTCATCGAGTTTGGGTTCGTTGGATTTGTCTTTTCGAGCACTTTAGTGTTAGATAATGTCCAGGGTCCTAAGATTAAGATATAACTAAAAAGTGTAAAATAAAATTATAATAAAAATAAACTTTTTTAAAAACAAGCTTTTATTCTGAATCTCGAAAGCTTGTAGCGCAAACAAAAAAAAAGAGGAATAAATTCCATGCGCGATACAAACTTTCGAAATTCAGAATAAAAGCTTGTTTTTAAAAAAGTTTATTTTTATTATAATTTTATATTTCCTCACTCCGTTTCGGTTCGGAAATCTGATTCTATTCTACTTACTCTCACAGGCTTTACACTAGTCTAGGTGGACCGACGATCTGTCGAAGGTCGCGGAAGGTGCCTAGACGCGGGCGGCACAGGACCGGTATTTGTGGAAATCCTTGGGGGAGGCCTTTGCCCAGCAGTGGGCGTAATTTGGCTGAAATGAACATCTGCTCTCATCTCTCTTGAGAAGAGAAGATAATAATATTCTCCTGTTCAATTTGGCGGTAACCTGGCTTTAACCAGGCCCCTCTTTCCCACTGGGCAATCTGGGCAGGCCCAGGGCCCCGCGATCGTGAAGGCCCCGTCTGTTCTAATAAAAGACCTTTCTCCAGATGAGAAGGGCCTCCCTTGATCCTTATGTGCCCAGGGCCCCTAGTAGGTTAAAGACGGCCCTAGCTTTAACGATGTGATCTTAAAGTTAGAGAACTTTCTGAAAATGAAACTGATCAGGCTCTAGATAATCACGATTCGTTATTAGGTTTAAGGTCGTTATCGCTATACTAAAGCTTAATCGAAATGTTAATATTTATTTACATACTCGTGTAGTAAAAGTTGGACATTAATGTTGTTATTTATCGTACTTGTATAAGCATAATTAAATTATTATAATCAGTCATGTGACAGCCATTAAAGTCTATATTTTCCTGATGAATCGGGAGTACCTTATCTCGAATTCTCGATATAATTTATTAAGAACTAGCTTTTGCCTGCGGCTTTACCCGCGTGAAATTCAGTTTGTCACTAATCATTATAAATTAAGCCTTTATGTAACTCTGATGCATAAACAATAAAACTGAAAATTTTCATCAAAAGTTCGTTCAGTAGTTTTTTCGTGAAAGAGTAACAAACATATTTTATTTATTATAAAGCTTGTATATACATAATTTTAATTTTTACCCTTTTTTTTATTTAGTTATAGTTTAGTTTAGTAGTTATTTGTTACCATTTTGTTGTATATATGTATGTAAAGATAAATTAAACAATACTTACTACAAACATACATCCATACATTAACACGAACTTTCGCATTCATAATATTATACTTATTAAGACTATGTAGAATATAGTTTTCATGATAAATAAACAGATTTTTACAGGCTTTCGCAAATAAATCAATTAACCTCTAACTCTAAAATACTTTTTGTCCCTTCTAGTAACTATTTCATTATTGAACTTTTTATTAAAATGTGCCAACAGTTGACCACTGGCTAGGCATTTCGTTATCATGGATTCAGTGCCGCCGGGGCCAACAGACGCAAACCATGTCAATATAACGTTTTAGTTAATTTGTTAACTAATAAAATAATCTAAATTATAGAGTGCTAATTTAAAAAAAAAGTAGTTCATAATTTTACGCAAGAAAATTAAAAATGACAGCGTTTTGTGATTGAAAAAGTGAAATTGAATGAAACTTCGTGAATTATAATTTATTTTGAGTGTATTAAGTTACTTAAAGTAAATAATTTTAATTAAATAGTGTTTATTTGATTCTCTTTAGTGTAAAACTTTTTTGAATAAAAGTTTAATGGCTACACATAATCTGTGTGACTGTGATAGTGCAAACAATAAAAAGCTTTATTGCCTACACTTTATAATACAAAATCAATTTTCATGACCATTTGAGTTAGTGACAAATAAAAAATGCGTATGAAAAAAACGTTCCTGTTTTTTGAAAAAGATTTCGCGGACACAGAAAATGAACCACTATTGCGTGACCCAGATAGTGACGATGATGATGATGAAAACTGGTAAGCTTTGAGAAATTACTAAAATACATACAAAGTATAATAGCCAAACCAGTGTAGCATTTTCAATTTAGTGTCCCACCTGGTCCAACAGTCCCTGGTCCCACCTGGGAATCGAACCTAGGGATCGGCAGGGCTCAACTGTTATGACTATTAGAACACTTAATGCGCACAATAAAATGACTAACAGCTTTTTTTTTAATCAAAAACAAACTTAGAAAAAGAAGCACATCAAAATGAAATCACATTTTCCAAAAATTTATCTGTAAACAATCTTAGTTAAGAAACTTAAGGATCTTATCAGACAGTTTTTGATAAAAAAAAATTCACTGTACATTTACGATCATTGAATGCAAATAATATGTTGAGAGTTTAACGAATCACAGAGTCTCTGCTAAATGTTACACATTACATAAAATTAACAGCATGTAAACTAAAATGATTGATAACACTATCAACAAAATGTATAGCAGGAAAAATAATAATCAAAAGTGGTTCACTGTGGTCAGAATCTAAATATAAAATATATTTTTTGGTCATGATAGGAAACATGGGTTTGAGATAAAAAAAAATAAGATTGCTCACAAATACATGTGATGCGGTGTATCAAGGATACGTACCTAAGGATTACATAATACTAGGAATTTACACAGACTTATTAATAGACTAGCTATGCCCCGCAGTGTTACCCGCGGTTAAACGTAGCCTATTATTATGTTAATCCAGGGTGTCAGCTAACTCCATACCAAATTTTATTAACATCGCTCCATCGTTTAGACGTGAAGAAGTAACGAAGATACACACAAACTTTCGCCTTTTTAATATTTAAAGTGTGATACAACTTCGATTCGACTTCTTAGGATGGCAGCGATCGCCTCTTGTCACCGGTCGTCTGCCAGGGTTCTGGTGGGACAAATTCTAACTTGACCCTCAGCAGTTCATCTGTAGTAAAAGTCCAACCAAAGACCACAGAAGAAAACAAGTTTGCAATGCTTTAAATATCATCCATCATGAATCATATTTTNCACATTTTCAAGAATCTGTAAAAAATCTTAGTTAAGAAACTTAAGGATCTTATCAGACAGTTTTTGATAAAAAAAAATCACTGTACATTTACGATCATTGAATGCAAATAATAGGTATGTTGAAAGTTTAACGAATCACAGATTCTCTGCTAAATGTTAAACATTACATAAAATTAACAGCATGTAAACTAAAATGATTGATAACACACTATCAACAAAATGTATAGCAGGATAAATAATAATCAAAAGTGGTTCACTGTGGTCAGAATCTAAATATAAAATAAATTTTTTGGTCATGATAGGAAACATGGGTTTGAGATAAAAAAAAAAAGATTGCTCACAAATACATGTGATGCGGTGTATCAAGGGTCCCTAAGTATTACATAATACTAAGACTTTAGCTATGCCCCGCAGTGTTACCCGCGGTAAAATGTAGCCTATGTGTCAATCCAGGGTGTCAGCTAACTCCATACCAAATTTTATCAAAATCGCTTTAGCCGTTTAGACGTGAAGAAGTAACGAAGATACACACAAACTTTCGCCTATTTAATATTAGTGTGATACAACATCGATTCGACTTCATAAGATGGCTGCGATCGCCTTTTGTCACCTGCCGCCTGCCAGAACCCTGGTGGGACAAATTCTAACTTGCCCCTCAGCAGTTCATCTGTAGTAAAAGTCCCACCAAAGACCACAGAAGAAAACAAGTTCGCAATGCTTCAAATATCATCATATCATCATTTNCATATTTTCAGCCATAGGACGTCCACTGCTGAACATAGGCCTCCCCCAATGATTTCCATGTTGATCGATTGGTATCAGACTGCGTCCAACGCCTTCCTGCTGCCTTTATGATGTCGTCGGTCTATCTTATGGGTGGACGTCCCACGCTGCGTTTCCGGTACGCATTTTGTATCCTAAACATGTTTTTTTTTGATGGAGGGAGATCGTGCGGAGAGTTGTATCCTTCTACAACCGATGTCAACAACGCCTCAACGTGGCCACGACCGCTCTGCCAAGAGCTTAACGAATAAGAAGAAACAATTTTGTGGAATAGAACCAGGATATTTCGAAGGGGAATCTAGTGACTTATCCAGAAAGGTGTGTTATTAATACGTATCCTTCTTTGCCCCCAGGAACCAGCCACGCCCCAGCCAGCAGTTCAACGTGATCCGACGGGTGTACCAGCAGGATGCATTGAACAAGGATGCCGACTACCAGTACCCTGAGAAACCCTGTAAGTTAAACCTTGACCAGATTCAAATTCTCTCATCATCATATTCCGGTACAGGTAACCTAACTTCCCGCGGGACTGAAAAATGGTGCGGGATCTCCGAATACCGATATTGGATGCCATTATATCAGTCAGAGGACGTCCACTGCTAAACATAGACCGCCTTTATGATTTCTGGGTAGGCTGGTTGGTAGAGGAATGCTTCCAGCACCTTCCTACAACCTTTATATGGTCATCTGTCCACCAGTGACAGTCCCACCGGTGTCGTCAATTTCTTTATTAGTACTTTATGTAGGCCCTATTCAGGTCACTATTACCATCCTAATTAATATAGTTTGCTCTACCACCACGTCGGAACAACATATCGCCTGAATAATGACTCTCCATAAAATGAAAAGTTTTTTTTTAAAGAGGCTCAAGGATGCATAATTAGGGTTTTTTATAAGTGATTGATAGTAAAGGCCAATCTGAAACAATCTCCACACAATTTTCCGACATTTCTCCATGTTAGCAGACTAGCGCAGTCAGATACATGCGCATCATCAGGTTATTTAGTCTTTACTGTAGGAGTATGATCATCTTTAATTTACCAGAGACAAATAGAGTCTAATATCCCCCATGAGTAAAAAGATCTGATCTGTTTTTTTCTTTGGAAAAAATAATTTGTTAATCGGTCATTTATGGAAAGTAGTATAGAAAGTATTGCCATACTTATTTACTGTTTGTATTCTAATAACATGCAGCTAACGAGATGATAAAGGACTTATGCATTTAGATAACAGTGAAACTAAATGGGTTGTTTAAGTATGTTACAATGTACATGTTGTTTATGTTAGTTGTTGATAGCTGACTATCCTCTTGCCCTGATTCTTACCGGGATTTGTATAAACTGATAGNTCAAGTCACTATTACCATCCTAATTAATATAGTTTGCTCTACCATCACGTCGGAACAACATATCGCCTGAATAATGACTCTCCATAAAATGAAAAGTTTTTTTTTAAAGAGGCTCAAGGATGCATAATTAGGGTTTTTTATAAGTGATTGATAGTAAAGGCCAATCTGAAACAATCTCCATACAATTTTCCGACATTTCTCCATGTTAGCAGACTAGCGCAGTCAGATACATGCGCATCATCAGGTTATTTAGTCTTTTCACTATAGGAGTATGATCATCTTTAATTTACCAGATACAAATAGAGTAGTAAAAAGATCTGATCTGTTTTTTTCTTTGGAAAAAATAATTTGTTAATCGGTCATTTATGGAAAGTAGTATAGAAAGTATTGCCATACTTATTTACTGTTTGTATTCTAATAACATGCAGCTAACGAGATGATAAAGGACTCATGCATTTAGATAACAGAGAAACTAAATGGGTTGTTTAAGTATGTTACAATGTACATGTTGTTTATGTTACTTGTTGATAGCTGACTATCCTCTTGCCCTGATTCTTACCGGGATTTGTACAAACTGATAGGTAGTCATAATTTATCAGAGGCAAATGGACTTTACTTATATTTTGACTCTACTCATATTTTGAGTCTTTTTCATGGAAATGTACTCTATATTTACAATACTCATGACTATAAAACATAGTACTTTATAACATTAGATCCAGCGTAAACTCTCTGTCCAAATAAAAATCCTCATCCAATGATTTCCTGCAACCTTTATAAGATCAAATACCTACCTGCCTTACTTTGCATCATCATCATTTCAGCCACAGGACGTCCACTGCTGAACATAGGCCTCCCCCAATGTTTTCCACATCGCCCGGTTGGTAGCTAGCGGCCTGTTTCCAGCACTTTCCTGCTACCTTTATTGTATAACCTTAACTTCGAACGCCTCCTATATTCTTCTGATTAATTTCGTTGCGGTTCCAATGACAGTTTAACTTTCTCCCGAGACAAACTGGACCTTCATTGGTTGGGTTTTTATGGCGGTCAAGCTGTAGATCTAGGTACACANGTCGTCAATTTCTTTATTAGTACTTTATGTAGGCCCTATTCAAGTCACTATTACCATCCTAATTAATATAGTTTGCTCTACCATCACGTCGGAACAACATATCGCCTGAATAATGACTCTCCATAAAATGAAAAGTTTTTTTTTAAAGAGGCTCAAGGATGCATAATTAGGGTTTTTTATAAGTGATTGATAGTAAAGGCCAATCTGAAACAATCTCCATACAATTTTCCGACATTTCTCCATGTTAGCAGACTAGCGCAGTCAGATACATGCGCATCATCAGGTTATTTAGTCTTTTCACTATAGGAGTATGATCATCTTTAATTTACCAGATACAAATAGAGTAGTAAAAAGATCTGATCTGTTTTTTTCTTTGGAAAAAATAATTTGTTAATCGGTCATTTATGGAAAGTAGTATAGAAAGTATTGCCATACTTATTTACTGTTTGTATTCTAATAACATGCAGCTAACGAGATGATAAAGGACTCATGCATTTAGATAACAGAGAAACTAAATGGGTTGTTTAAGTATGTTACAATGTACATGTTGTTTATGTTACTTGTTGATAGCTGACTATCCTCTTGCCCTGATTCTTACCGGGATTTGTACAAACTGATAGGTAGTCATAATTTATCAGAGGCAAATGGACTTTACTTATATTTTGACTCTACTCATATTTTGAGTCTTTTTCATGGAAATGTACTCTATATTTACAATACTCATGACTATAAAACATAGTACTTTATAACATTAGATCCAGCGTAAACTCTCTGTCCAAATAAAAATCCTCATCCAATGATTTCCTGCAACCTTTATAAGATCAAATACCTACCTGCCTTACTTTGCATCATCATCATTTCAGCCACAGGACGTCCACTGCTGAACATAGGCCTCCCCCAATGTTTTCTACATCGCCCGGTTGGTAGCTAGCGGCCTGTTTCCAGCACTTTCCTGCTACCTTTATTATAACCTTAACTTCGAACGCCTCCTATATTCTTCTGATTAATTTCGTTGCGGGTCCAATGACAGTTTACCTTTCCCCCGAGACAAACTGGACCTTCATTGGTTGGGTTTTTATGGCGGTCAAGCTGTAGATCTAGGTACACAGGAGTTGCAGCGGTGGGAACGAGAGGTAGGAATAGTCCCGTACCTTTATTTTATGGACGACTAATTTTTGCCCGCGGCTTCACCCGCGTGAAATTTAATTTGTCACCGATCGTCATAAATTATAGCCTATATGTTAATCTGGGTTATAAACAATAATACTGTAAAGTTTCATCAAAATCCGGTCAGTAGTTTTTGCGTGAAAGAGTAACAAACATCCAGACATCCAAACTTTCGTATTTATTTATAATATTAAGTAAGTAGGACATACTCCACTCCAGAACCTTGCTATCCCATCGGGCCGTCAGTTCTGCGGTTCTGCGTACTATGTGCCCTGCCCATTTCAACCTCAGCTGTACGGTGTACTTTGTACCTTCAAATATTCATCACCATGAATCTTGTTCCAGTGGGCTACCGGTGCAAGAAGGCAGTAATAGGCTGCGGTTTCGGAGAATGCCTGTCCAACTCCATCCCCATCCTGCGATGGCTGCCCAAGTACGACTTCAAAGCCAACCTGATGGGAGACCTGATAGCTGGCGCCACTACTGCCGTCATGCACATACCCCAAGGTAGGTGGTGTAGAATAGAAACGATATTTAGCAATTTAAAACTAGCAATATAATTACGCGCGAGCGATAAGGATGGGTATTGGGTAGCTTGAGGTCATTGGACGAAATTCTACGTGCTCGGCGACCGGTATTTACTATCACATAATTGGTACCCTAGATTGCATGAATTTAAATTACCAAGTGAGATGCAGTCATATTAGTGGCAAGCACCTAAATAAATCTTAAAAATAACTAAACTTCTATAAAATATCACTTTGAGATGATATGTTCAAATAAAACTCTAGGGGATCTCCAAAAAGGGGCAGAAAGTCCGATCAGACCAAAATAACCAAATTTTCTATTAAAAGAAATCATTTATTAACAGACAATAATATTGTTAAAGTCGCTTATTTGTTTCACTTTTTCAAACAAAGGCCATACATGGTATTTCTGGAAACAAAGATTCTTTTACAGATTTGAGGTGTTAATTTACATGACCTTCAGATTTGAGAACAATCAATTTTCAGCATTAATATGTGAAATTGACAATTATCCTAATTGGAATAATAATAATTACAATTGTTTTGCTACACGTGAATTCAAATACATCCTTAGCGATGACTAAAGCCGGGTCTGCAGCGCGTGTTTTGCCGTACAATCAACAAAAACATTAATTTGTACACTGTTGACCCGGCTATGTTGTTAAATTATGTTTTTAATAAATCAATGTTGCCATTTAGCTTGAAAAACTTTATTAAATCACTTTAATTTAGCCCTGGAAGTCTGAAAACCGAGTTAGTTTTTTGAAATCAATGGTCATTGAGTTTGGAACTAGTGACATCGTAGGTTCCCTCTACCATACAAAAGCTATGGGATATTCAATGCAGACATCCCATAAAAAGTAGAGTCAATAAAAAATATCGTAGGCGCCAGCACTGTAGAGTAACGTCCGTATTCAAAACGATGCTTGCTTAAGTGAAGCAGCAAATTGAACGCACAGCGTTTAGTAGAGCTCTGTGATTGGTTCGTGTGTCTCATAGTAATGTTTGTGAATACGGGCGTAAGTTCCTATCACTCCACCAGTGGTGCCATTAAGTATAAAAATATATCCCCCGTTGCCTGTGGGTGGTGTCAATCAACTATAGCTCTTGTGCATAAAGTTCCAAAATACTGAACTGTCCTATCCATGACATTGACAGCGGGGCGCCACCGTCTATACCGGATCGCTGGTTCCGATTTTTGCCATGTTGGAAACCATATAGTTGAACGATGGTAGCGCCCCCCTGTCATTGAGTTTGGTGGGACAGTTCAGCGTGGGTCATCTATAACCGAGTCAGTGCCTGAGCTACGGGAGGGGTGGCATTAATATGGCTTGACAGAACATAGTCGAAGTCTCGCTGACGTTTGACATGACGTTTGACATCACAATAACACCCTCCCGTCGCCGCGCTCCCATGCTTCAACCACACCAACGCGTGAAGATCGCCATCGCCGGCGCGATCAAAGGCCAATGACAGATCGCGTGAACTGTCATAGGTCGCGCGACCTGTCATTGGCCTTTGATCGCGCCGGCGATGGCGATCTGCACGCGTTGGCGTGGTTGAAGCTGCAATTTAGCGCCTTGACCTACACCCTACATCCTTAAAAGTTAGTCTGTAAATTTCATTAAATTCACTATTTTTGTCTTTCTTGCTCCTTAGGTATGGCGTACGCGCTCCTGGCCGAAGTCCCACCGATCGTGGGGCTGTACATGGCGTTCTTCCCAGTTCTGGTGTACGTGGTGTTCGGGACATCGCCCCATGTATCCATGGGGACGTTCGCCGTGGCCTGTCTTATGGCGGGAAAGGTGAGATATGTTCGAGAGACACATATTAAAAGGGATAGATTGAAATATAAGACTTTAATTTTATCTGGGATCTTTAGTGGACCTGTATTAAAAACTAGCTTTTCGCCCGCGTGGAATTTTGTCTGTCACAGAAAAACTTTATCACGCGCACGTCCCTGTTTCAAAAACCGGGATAAAAACTTTCCTATGTCCTTTCCCGGGACTCAAACTATGTGTATGCCAAATTTCATATCAATCGGTTCAGTGGTTTAGGCGTGAAAGCAAGACAGACAGACAGACAGAGTTACTTTCGCATTTATAATATTAGTATAGATTAAACTAGAGTCTACCAATAAACTCATCATCATTTTCGATTCGGAAACATTTCACCTATTTAAAGACTAGGTATTGCCTATGCTAACGGCTGGTCGGATTTTAACAAAACTTTTACTGACAAAACTAAAGCTAATTTAGTTTAGAAAATAGTAGTTCGCGCAAAAAAGACAAGCCCCATGAAATATGAAAACCGACACAGATCGCAATTTAAGAGAGCGGTAGAACAAATGCTAGCCTACAATGAATTATCCAGCACTTAATATCAAAAGGGAAATATTCCTTTCCATCAGCCTTCATGGTTGACGTAAGGTTTCGTTGCACATTTTTAACTAAATACCCACGGACCGGGGCTTAGAAATAACGTCTATAATTTCACAGTTGAGTGATCACTGCAACTGTTACTAAATAAGTGACGTTTAAACTAGACGACGGCTAGTCAACTAGCTAAACAAACTTGACCTTCACTGGTTGGGTTTTTATTGGCGGTCAAGCTGTAGATACTGGCTGCACAGGAGTTGCAGCGGTGGGAATGATAGGTGGGAATAGTCCCGTAGTCAATTAGCTAAACAAACTTGACCTTCACTGGTTGGGTTTTTGGCGTTCAAGCTGTAGATCCTGGCTACACAGGAGTTGCAGCGGTGGGAACGAGAGGTGGGAATAGTCCCGTAGTAGTACAGACTTGACCTTTACAATTTCATAACAGACTTGTCCATTCGCCACAGTCAACTCGTCACAGAAAAATGCATGTGAAAATTCGTCACACTTCTGTATACTCGTATTTCTCGTGATAGATTGACTCGTATTTAATCAGATTTAATGACAAACTAGCTTTTTCCCGCGGCGTCGCCCGCGCTTATTTCGTTTTGGAACAAAAAGACACCAACGCGCGCGTTCTTTTTTCACCAAAACCAAACGGTATAATAAAAACGATCCTGTTTTTTCCTGGACCCTAAACAGTCAGTTACTTTCGCATGACGTACAAAAATGTGACGAATTGACTTTGTGGCAATCAGTATAACCCCCACGATAATTATCTGAAAAACGAGATGAAAGCATGAGCCACAGAGACAGACAGACCCAAAAATACAATAAAGTAGTTAGGGAGAAGCCTCACAGATCATATTTTTTTGGAAGATACAAGCAAAGAAAAAGAAAAAAAAAAGGCTTCCAATAATTTTCTCTCCCATTATTTTTTCAGGTGGTCACGCAATACTCAACACACATTGACCCTGGCAGTGCTATGAACGCTACAGCTGGTTTACCGACATGTAAGCAAACTATGTTTTTTTTCATAAGCTATGTATATTTATGTCAGCCCATTCCAGTCCAGCCTAGTACAAAATTAAGTGCCCCCTGTTTCGGACCCACAATTGCTTCAACTCAATGAATGTTTAATAAAATGTTTACTTTATTTATATGGAGTTTTTGTCCTCAGCCACAGCAGAAATGGGTGTCCCTATATACAGTCCGCAAGAAGTACTCAGCATCGTGTGTCTTGCGGTTGGAATCTTCCAGGTTTGTTGGGAATTTGTACATAAAGTTACCGGAAATCAAAAGGAGCACGTTGTAATTTTACGTTATCTTGTACTACTGAATGCCATATTGAGTTCTCTGTTCATCTATCGTGTGGTGAAGCTGCAGTTTTCAACCTAAAAACTTAGCTACTAAAGCCTGAGCCCCGATTACGGTAATTTTTAACGTCAACAATCCAGACACGCTTCTCGATTCTGCGATACGATTGGTCGTTCAACAGCGTACGTCAGCTGTTTTGACCAATCGTATCGCAGAATCAGAAACGCGTCTGGATTGTAGACGTTATAAAAGTTACCGTAATCGGGGCTCTGGTCGCGACTGTGCGACGGGCGCCCGTAGTGAGTGTGCGAGCGCGACAGCAACATAATTACGCGCGAGCGTTAAGGATGGGTAGCTTGGGGTCATTGGACAAAATTCTACGTGCTCACGGACCAGGCTTTAGCTTAAATGTGGCTTAGAATGGTACTTAGGGACTTCCAAAGGAGGATGACTCGGTGTTCTGCATTAGAAGAGGTTTCCCTTAGCAGTTGTGAACTTTCTAGAACTATAATCAAGGTTCCTTTTCCATTTCTCCTCATCCCAGGTGCTGATGTGGATCATGCGGCTCGGAGCCGTCTCCACGCTGCTCTCAGAAACGCTGGTGTCAGGGTTCACCACGGCCGCCTCCTTCCACGTGCTGGCCTCCCAACTGAAGGACCTGTTCGGACTGAAGCTGCCCAAACTGCCGAGCAATTACAAAGTTGTTTATGTGAGTGGATCAGTTTATTGTTAATAGCATTAGGCTCTTTCAAATTATGACGTTTTGAGTCGGACTCCTGTCGCCCACTTGCAGGACAAACAAAAATGTAATAAAAATGTCAGTTACAGCCAACAGTTAGTATGCGCTTGAAGCATGACTGACGTATCTACCTAAGTCCTACTGCTCAAAAAGTCTAATGTAAAAGAACCCCAAGGGCTATGTTCTCTCTAATTAGACATTTCAACTCGCGACGCAAAAAATGCGCTTTGCAATCAATTGTTAGATAAAGGAACTCTTTAGCATACTGTTTTATATTTGTCTTATTTGAAATGTTTTGCGTGTGCACCTAAACTATTTATTTATTTATTTTACTTCATAATTTCCTTTTCCCAATCCAAGATACTTAGTGTAGTAACAACATAAAATGAAACAACGTGTTTGCTTCCAGACTGTGATAGAGATATGCAAGAACATCACGAACGTGAACGTGGCGGCCTTCGTCATCTCCTTCATCACCTGCCTCGTCATCGCGCTAAACAACGAGCTCTTGAAGGTACAGTTTGTCTAAAGCCCGGTCTGTGAGCACGTAGAATTTTGTCCAATGTCCCCAAGCTACCCATCCTTATCGCTCGCGCGTAATTATATTGCTGTCGCGACTGTGCGACGGGCGCCCGCAGGCCCCGCAGTGAGTGTGCGAGCGCGACAGCAACATAATTACGCGCGAGCGATAAGGATGGATAGCTTGGGGTCATTCGATAAAATTCTACATGCTCGCAGACCAGACTATAGCCGTGATACAAATTACTAATAATATCGTTAACCCCTCGTGGTAAAATAAATATGCTTAAGTATATTTAAATACGAGTGGATTCACCACAATAGTCAAGTGGCGGCGGAGGGATTCGAATCACGAGTTGCCCAGTCCGACCCCTTCACCGTTCGGCTATCGTGGATTCAATTATAACTACTTTCCTAAGTCAATGAGGGTGGGTTATCTTTTAGTTCTCACCAGCCGGCGTCATTATATGACGCCACTGTAGAGTAGGTAAGGCAGGGTACTCACCTGTCATGTAGCACCTAACGTAGCATGTAACGTTACGTAACCAACCTTCAAGCGAGTACGGCTCGTCCACGGTCACCGGCACCGCGTATCTGGCTGCGAGCTCCTAAATCCTACTGCGAGCCGCCTTTGTGCTCGCAGTGATACCGCCAGTCGGCGGGTCGCTGCGATCTCCCTGCGAACCACGCGCGAGCAGCTCGCAGCGGGCTCGTGCCTATGTACTCACTTGATACAGTATCTGATACATTACATGCTACACGGCTAGATAAATACCCTGCTTACGGTCCTGCCATTTGCCCCTGGTGCCAACTGTTGAATCATTGGGTGGGTCAAACAAAAAAAGTATTGGTTAACAAAGTATACATTTGGGCAGTAGAATTACTACTGCCCAAATGCAACAACATTCCTAGAAAAGGGCAAGTTAAGTGCGCACCTGGCTGGAATGCGACTCTCCCTCGCACTTACCCGCGTTCGCCCATCTAGCACCAGAGCGTCGATGTGACGTCAGGGCAGCAAGGTGCGCAGTAGGGATGTTATGGATGTGTAGTTTCGGTTATGGATCGATACGATTACGGATATAGGAATTATATTATTCCGGTTACGGTTACGGAGTCTTTTATTCGGTTACGGTTACGGATATCCATAACATCCCTGGTGCGCAGTTAACTCGACCGGGTTGTAATTCAAATTGTCCGTTTCAGAGTGGTTGTATTCTGATCTAAAATTGAGTTGTTTGTGTTTCTAGCCATGGCTGAGCAAGCGCTGCCGGGTGCCGATGCCTATCGAGCTGATAGCCATCGTGGTGGGCACGCTGGTGTCGAGGTTCGCAGACCTGAAGCAGGTCTTCGGGATCGGCCTCATCGGCTCCATACCTACTGGGTGAGTCATATTATACCTAGATACAGGCCCCTCTTTCCCACTGAGCACTTTGGGCACGTACCCAGGGCCCCGCCACCGAAGGGGCCCCCGTCTGCTCGAAATACCCTTCTCCAGATTATAAGGGCCACCCTTGGTCCTTAAGTGCCCAGGGCCCCTAGTAGGTTTAAGACGGCCCTGCCTAGATATGTATGTTGCTGAAGTTATACAACCCTTTGAACTTCAAAGCACGAGTGAATAGGCCTCTTATGTCACTTCACTTTACCATAGATCGAATCATCACCCCAAGGGTGAGATTATTTCAAGAACAAATCAGGAGGCGTAGTGTGAGTTCAATATCGAGTGCGAAAATCTATTATTAATATTTTTGTTCTTAGAATGTATCCACTATGGGCGCTGTTCAATCCGTCATACTTACATTTAATGTAGTTTTTTACGTTCTCTTAAAGATTCAGAAAATTTTCGCTTTGAAAATATATTCGAGTTCCAGCAGATCAGATTATGGTCACTCCCACTCATTTTCCCGTGGATATTGTAAAAAAGTTGTTTTTTACAATATCCACAGGGATAAATAAATCACGCTTCCACGCCAAAATCTTCATTTGCCTCTGGTAAAGAGAGGATCGTGCTCCAGCAGTGGAGACTAAATCTGTGGTCTAGTGCTAAGACCGCCTGCTTCAGACCCAGAGGTCCCGAGTTCGATTCTTAGAAAAGCTTCCTCTTTGTGTTAACCGCCTCTCTAGTGCTAAGTAAGACCACTTGCTCCAGAGGTCCCGGTTCGATTTCCAGGGGAGCATCCTCGTTATGGATTAATAAGAACCTCCCCTTTTGTTCCAGCCTGCCAGTACCCCAAGTGCCTCCCGTAGAGCTGTTCCCAACGATAGCCATAGATGCCTTCACGATCACCATGGTCACCTACACCATATCGATGTCGATGTCGCTCATATTCGCCGCAAAGGAGAAGTATGAAGTGGACGCTAACCAAGAACTACTGGCGCTGGTGAGTTGATCAGTTTTTGTGATAAAATGAGTGTTGTGACAGTTGAAATTTAATTATTTTGTAATGTCTAAATACAAGGACTAGTGCCAGATAAAGATTTTTTGTTTCTTCCTTTTTTGAGGCACACCGTATGCTGAAATGGAGACTTTTTAGCACACCCTATTACATGTTTTAAATATGTATCAATTTCATTGTTTCAATGAAACGATATTCTGTTCCATATAAAAAGTATAAACATCAATTTAAGCACTTATTTCAATGCTGGACAAAGATCTACCTGATCCTTGCAATCAAAGTCCAAAGCTAAAGACAACTTGCTTCTTTATGATCTAAACTAGTTTACGATACTAAAAACTAACTGTATAGCATATCCTACCAACCAATTAGTTTTCCTGTAAATGCACTTTCAAATAAAGTGTATTAAACGTATTTTCCTTTTGTCCATCAGGGCGCCAGTAACGTGTTTGGATCCTTCTTCTCATGTGCACCGATGTGCGCCAGTTTGTCTCGCTCTTACATCCAGTATCAGGTGAGTTTTATAACTAAGATCAAAATTTTGAATTCTTGAGATCGTTGATTTTCTGAACGTGTAATGAAATCATCGATGTATATTTTTAGCGCTACGTTACCCTTTCGCAAGTTTTGAGTTAAAGCGAGGGAAATTATGTAACTGGGAACATATTTGACACCATGTGCAATATATTTTAGGGTTGTATAAAAAGGAACACAACGTCAAGCTTTGTTTAAAGCCCAATCACTTTTATAACTATTTGTAAGATTCCTTTTATTAGCTCTAAAAAGTCGGTGAACACTATTTTGTTCACTTGCGTTTTCACAATTCACTTTTCCAATGGAGGTCGAAAGAGCATACTATATTGGGAAAATATGCGAATATTAGGCCTCCCACTAACTAGAGTGGTAGTGAAGGATTTGGCCTACACACCCCACCCTAGGTAAATCGTGAACTAAAAAAGTTCAGTGAAAACGATCTTGCAGTAGAGACTATAAGGTCCAGCGCTTAACTCAGTTAGTTCCTGAGGTGGACGTTACAAAAACACCCTCACATGCCGCTCCCATACCTCAAGCGCTAAACCTGTAAATGACCTGATGTTGATGATTTTGTTTGACTGGAACTATGTATGGTGTCTCCAGGCGGGCAGCAAGACAGGCATAACCTCAGTAGTGAGCTCGCTTCTGATCCTGTGCGTGCTGCTATGGGTGGGGCCGTTCTTCGAACTGCTACCGCGGTGTGTGCTCGCTTCTATCATCGTGGTGTCGCTTAAAGGCATGTTTATGCAAGTCAAGGAGCTGGCCAAGTGAGTACAAACTTTCCTAATTCTTTACAGTCAACATGGTTTTATCCCAATTTAGAAAACCCCAATAAGTAATAAATACGAATGTATAGAAACTTGACGCGCCCAAGAAGTATTCATACTGGTCTCATAGCAGATCAATAGCTAGCTAGCTATAATTTATAATAAATTGAGTCCTCCTCTCCTGATCTTCTCTTCAATTGTCAAAAAAAGAGTATTAAAGGATGCTTCGTGCTATTCCGTCTGCTCGTTTGCCTCCTGTCATATAAAAAAAAAATACAAATACGACTCGGCACTGCAGTTTAAATCTTCACACCAATTTATTGTAAAGTTGGGTCGCACTTACAGATTCTGGAAGCTCAGCAAGTTAGATGCAGTGGTGTGGCTGGTCACGTTCCTCATCACGGTGCTAGTCAACATTGATATTGGGTAAGCAATCTTAAACTTAATCAAATAAATTCTAACAAATATGTGACCAGGACCTTCCAAAGACTCCCCTGGTAAAGATGGCGACCTGGAAAATCCTAAACAGGCTATCAGGAACAGACTAGGATTTTGGAATTTATGATGCTAATCTTTCGCCTAGTTTAAATTTTGAAAAATCTACTGTTTCTGATGGAAAACGACCTTTCACTTACCTGATGCCTACTTCTACCATTGACGGACACATTGATATACCCATCAAAATTTTATTGTATATTTTTTAGCTTTGCCCCAGCGTTACAAGATTCAATTTTGATTGCAGACTAGGAGCTGGTCTGCTAGCCAGCGTGGGAGCCCTATTCTGTCGGTCGCAGAAGCCCTACACGTGTCTGCTAGGCCGTGTGCTTGACACAGACCTGTATCTGGACACCAAGCGGTACAGAGCCGTAAGTAACATTTCATCAGTGTACTTTCATTTCTCAACATAAATGATTATAAGGTCCAGCCATATTATGTCGCATAACTTAGTCACTTCTTCTGGAGGGTGTTTTTTTTTTGTTACGTCAAATGTTAGTGAGACTTCAGATTTGTAAGCTCTGTCACGTATTATGTCAAAAACACCCCTCCCGTGCTGCTATAGTTCCAAAATACTGAACTGTCCTATCGATGACATTGACAGCGGGGCGCCACCGTCAATACCGAATCGCTGGTTCCGATTTTTGCCATGTTGGAAACCATAAAGTTGAACGATGGTAGCGCCCCCCTGTCATTGAGTTTGGCGGGACAGTTCAGCGTGGGTCATCTATACCATACCTCGGGCACTAGATCTATAATTTCTTGACATATTCTATTTATAGCCTGACCAGGAACATAAAAACCCTGGCATAGAGGCGCGTCAATTGCATTTGATAGTGCAACACTGAGTACAGTCGTACCTGTGTTAAATTAGTAGGCTAACTTTATGTATCAGGATTCAGAATTACGGGCTAATTTGATATTTTCATAAATTAACGAAAATATATTATTATAGGTAACCTGATTTAAATAAATGAAATGAAACCATCAATCGTGCTAGTAGAATTTATTTTATTATTCATCAATAATCAAATTCAGAACTTGAATATTCAACTGCAATGTCTGCTCATGAACGCTTCAAACTCGGTACTTCTTTTCCAATCCCATAAAATTCAACACATAGAAAGTGACAAAAATTTTAAAATAGGTAGTTGAAACAAACCACAGCTAAGGACAATGGGCAAAATGGTACCCGGCTCCAATAGATATGCTTCTAGTGTCATTTGAAAGGTCTTACCAAGACAAACAACTTTTACTATGACGACCAGCCTCAGATCTGGTTGTGTTCGAAGATAAACATACTTTTTTGCAGAATGGTACCCGGCTCCAATAGTTATGTTTGTAGTGTCATTTGAAAGGTCTTACCAAGACGAACAACATTTACTATGGCCACCAGCCTCAGATCTGGTTGCGTTCGAAGATAAACATACTTTTTGTGTAGTCGAAGTATCACACGTGTCCATCATAAAATATGGTACTTAGGTTATGCGAGGCATGAAGTGTTTACTGCTCCAGCATCCTTCCTTAACTCTATAATTATTTATGGGTATAATTGTGAAATAAATATTTTTATTTGAAGAACTACCTTATTAATAAAAAGTTACACCTAGGATGAACCATGGATTAAAATGACATTTCCATACCAAATGACAATTTAAACCAGAGTTCAACTAGGGTGTAACTTAATTTTCTTAATAAAGGGGTTAGAATTTTATTACTTCTTAAGGATTTTATTATGGGTTGCTAAAGTGAATAAATCCACAAGTCCCAATAAGTCCACCCACAAGATGGACCGACGACCTCATAAAGGTAACGGGAATACGCTGGATGGCAGGCTGCAACCAACCGGCCATTGTGGAAATCATTGGGGGAGGCCTATGTTCAACTGGACGTTCTATGGCTAAAATGATGATGATGATGAAAGAGAATCAAGGGCTAATAGCTTGGGTAGTTCGTCGTAGGTATAATCCTTTCCTTTTCAATGCTTCTTTTAGTTATATTAATAGATTGTAGTCATAGTACACACTCGTATACATGGATGATTGTGTTATACTTTCTTATAATACTTAGTGGAATTACTGCTTTCAAAACGTGAATTAGAACTGGCCCCATAGCAGATATTTTCCTACATCTAGAGGCCTTTTGAAATATATATTGGTTATGGCTATTGGAGCGGGTACCACTTTCCATACATTTGTGCCCATCATCCTTTTCATAGTGGACTGTACTATACGATAAACATGTCAGTCAATTTGACAACCTTTGTTGGAAACATTATTCAATGAAAATATTGTCCAAACCCTTAGTATTTATCTTCGACAAATACTTTAACACATTGTGATCCACTTTTCTTTCACGACTATAAAAATATTTTAGCAATTTAATTCATAAAACCAATTGCGCACATTTAAAATAAACTTTGTTTACACTTTGACAGCAATAGACTGACATGCAAGATGACATGTCAATGAAGTTTTCAGTTACTGTTGCCATTAAAAGAAATTAGTACCATTAGTTTTCCGCAACATGGCGAGGGTTTTTATGTTCCTGGTCAGGCTATATGACTATGACTATTCCAATGAAGACAAAAAACGAAATCTACGCCTAAATAAAAAAACGTAACTAATCCAAAATAAACCTCTGCGCTAATACTCTTCAAGTGGTATAAAACCTTTTCTGTGATTCCTAACTTTTATTTCTATTAGCATGTCAAATCTCTTGACAAATTATATCAAAGTCACAGATGGCATTTTAAAAACAACAAATCCAAAACTCTCAGCAATGTGAATCCCAACATCTTCAAAATGTAAATCAACCTTCAATTACCTACCAAAATGCAAATTTTCCCTCAAAACCGGTGCGCGTACTGTTTGACCCACCAGCTTAGTTTGGTGGGGCTGATCAGGTGGCTACTGTTCGTGGCATTCAACATCATGCTCATGTGTTCAGTTCGGTTCTATATTGGCTCACATAAAATTCTAAATCCTATTCTTTGTCTTACTACCGATTTGTGTTCATAATAATCTCTCTTCATAATTTTATTTTTCATACTTTTTTTATTCATACATTTTTATTCCTACCANCGATAATTATCTGAAAAACGAGATGAAAGCATGAGCCACAGAGACAGACAGACCCAAAAATACAATAAAGTAGTTAGGGAGAAGCCTCACAGATCATATTTTTTGGAAAATACAAGCAAAGAAAAAGAAAAAAAAAAGGCTTCCAATAATTTTCTCTCCCATTATTTTTTCAGGTGGTCACGCAATACTCAACACACATTGACCCTGGCAGTGCTATGAACGCTACAGCTGGTTTACCGACATGTAAGCAAACTATGATTTTTTTCATAAGCTATGTATATTTATGTCAGCCCATTCCAGTCCAGCCTAGTACAAAATTAAGTGCCCCCTGTTTCGGACCCACAATTGCTTCAACTCAATGAATGTTTAATAAAATGTTTACTTTATTTATATGGGGTTTTTGTCCTCAGCCACAGCAGAAATGGGTGTCCCTATATACAGTCCGCAAGAAGTACTCAGCATCGTGTGTCTTGCGGTTGGAATCTTCCAGGTTTGTTGGGAATTTGTGCATAAAGTTACAGGAAATCAAAAGGAGCACGTTGTAATTTTACGTTATCTTGTATTACTGAATGCCATATTGAGTTCTCTGTTCATCTATCGTATGGTAAAGCTGCAGCTTTCAACCTAAAAATTTAGCAACTAGCTTAAATGTGGCTTAGAATGGTACTTAGGGACTTAACCAAAGGAGGATGACTCGGTGGTCTGCGTTGGAAGATATTTTGCTTGCGCAAATAAAATTCTGATTCTGATTCTATAGTTCTTGCAACTCACGAAGGCGAATGAGCTTTACTTGTGTGTATACATGTACAGTCACGGAATGAAAAGGTTCGTCAGTTTTCAAATTGATTCCTTCAACGAATCGCGAGCACATATTACCTTTTGAAACTATGTTACAGAATAATCTCGAGTTAGAGAAAATAATCTTTAACTTTTCGTCAGTAAAGTTCAAAATTATTCAGATCAAAGTTGTTTGACGATTTATCTTGTCAAGATTAATATGATTGATAAACTAAAACCTTCTTGTTGGTTCAACCTGCCATTATTATTTCTATTAAATAAAAAAAACTACATTTTGTAACTTTGCATGGGATAGAAAAATAAACAAGCAAAACCTTATTCGTTAGCAAACGTCATATTTATTTAAATGTTAGCAGCATTGTTTTTTGCACTGTTATGTTGGCAGGTTTGACTCTTACAGTACCGAGTGCAAGCGAAAACCGACACTAAGGTGACGAACCTTTTCATTCCGCGACTGTACATGCACATAATGACTGTCATGTAATGTCTATCAAAACTTTTGAAAAAACTAACAGTAGCGAGCTATCACACATGTAAAGCTCACTCGCCTTCTTGAATTGCAACAACTGTGCTAATAATGAACTTTCTAGAGCAGATAATCAAGATTACTCTCCTATTCTTGTCATCCAAGGTGCTGATGTGGATCATGCGCCTCGGAGCGGTCTCCACGCTGCTCTCAGAGACGCTGGTGTCAGGGTTCACCACGGCCGCCTCCTTCCACGTGCTGGCCTCCCAACTGAAGGACCTGTTCGGACTGAAGCTGCCCAAACTGCCGAGCAATTACAAAGTTGTTTATGTGAGTGGATAATTTCAGCGTTATTGGCATTAAATACTAAACTTTCTTACTTTATAAATTAGCTCTATGTTCTCCCTAATCATGCGAACAGCTAGGGACTGGAATTCGTTCCCTGCTGCTGTCTTTCCCTAATTAATACAAATCCGGGGATTTTCAAGACGAGAATGGATAGGCACTTACAAGGCAGATATGTACCTACCATCCTAAACTGCATCTCATTTAACATCAGATGCGATTGGGGCCAAATACCTGCCAAAAAAAAAAAGATCAACTGGGCTAGCTAGGATGTGCGTTACGATAAAATATTTTTGTGGAATTATATCGATTTGAGAAATAGGTATCGTTAAAATCAATAAAATGTCTCGATAAGAATCATAAATCGTGGCATCCTAGTTCTGCTGGACTGTCGACATGAAGATTTTGAAAATAACTTTTTCATTGCTATTTTGTTCCTTTACTTGACGCCTCAATAATAATAAAATATAAAAACAATGTGTACTTGTCCCCAGACTGTAATAGAAATATGCAAGAACATCACGAACGTGAATGTGGCGGCCTTCGTCATCTCCTTCATCACCTGCCTCGTCATCGCTCTCAACAATGAGCTCTTGAAGGTACAGTTACATTAAATTTAAGAAGTTTAATTGGCGTAATGAGGAATCTTAGCAGTGACTAATTTAACCCTCAAAATGGT